GGGAAGCAATTGGTTAGCAGAGCTGCAGTTAAGATTTTTGAAGCTAAGTTTTTAATGTTTGCCTAGAGATTAAGATACTTGTTTTAATAAAAAACTTCTTGCTATTCAATATCCATTATTGGCCATAGTGGAGAGCCAAGGTGTTGAGTCAGCTACAGTACGTTATTTCCCTCACTCCTAGTGAGGAAGGGTCAGGGGAAAAAAAAACCACAAGGGAGGCTCGTAGAAAGCTGAGATAAGAACTATTTAATTATATAAATGAAACTTACGGAGTTGCTAACAATGCTATTGCTAATAAGTAATTAGAAGAACAGAAAAATAGAACAAATGATACAGGATCTCACCACCCGTGGATGGACACAGCCAGGTGCCAGGACAGCAAGTAAAAATAAATCCAAAGCCCCAAGGAGAAAAACCCCCACCCTGAGCCCGGGAGCCAAGAGCAGGGGGAAAGAAAACTTTCAACTGTCCCTTCCCAGAGCAATGTGCCTGACAAAAGACACTCACTGTCTGCTAATCACCCAACATGAGGTCCAAAAAACCCCTGTGCTGCCAGCCCAAAACCCACGCTGCCAGCAGGAACCTTTGGGACGACCCCCGCCCCCACCTTCCAGGTCCAGCCTCTGCCAGCTTCCCCCCGACCCACTCCCAGCACCGCCAGTACAGGGTAACAGTGACCGCTCAGCGTGATGTATTATGGAATGAAGCCAGGTCTTATTGACTGCCCTAGGGGAGCAGCTCACTGCTGCCTGGGACCAGGACAGAAACCTAGTTATTAAACACTTCAGAATTAAAAGCACTGTACATACTGTGGTACAAAGCCAACCCAGGTTCAATTCATTGCTTCACAAAATAACTAGACTAGCCCACAAACAGACAGCTGTGGTGCCCTCCTTAAGTACCATTTCCCAGTCACAAATGTGGAAGAAACGCAGAAACAGAGCGCAGAACATCTCCCCCTCCGTGGCAGTAATTTCAGCAGTCCCATTCTGTCACTTGTAAGAAAACCCAAAGGTGAAAGATCAACTCACCTATCCCCACTCAGTCTGGGCCAATAGCAGTAACCCATGAGACATTTTGACCCTTCCTCAGCTAAGCTAAGTGTGGAACAGTCACCTTTAGCATTGAGATGCTCGGCATTATTATAGCCCTGAGGCTGGCAGAGCCTCCACGAGTCCACTCTGTTCACAACAGACTTCCTCTGGGTTTCAGCCAAAAGCACCAGGCTCTGGAAACACAAGTTCATGTCAGCTTCTTCAAACTCTTTGCCAGTAGTTCATGCAAATTTCTGAGAGATATTTTCTCTATCTTCTTGCAGATGAATACAGAGAGGAACAAAATTCCAGGTGAGTACAGCCACCTCTACAAAGAGTGGTCCAAGGTGACAAAGTTAAATGCACCATGACCTCTACAGACATAAAATGGGCAACAGCAGAGTTTGGGTAAGCCAACAGAATGTGAAAGCTCAGCAAAGTCCACCCTTCTGCAGGGCATTGCATTTGTTATCCTCAATCAGAAGATGTTCTCAGGATTTATTCTTTCCCTCAACTCAACCATGAAAATGTACTGTTCTAACATGAGTGCACTTGTCTAACCTTTTGTAACAAGGGAAAGGGATCAGTGCTTATTTACATATGAGAAGCCACACTATCAGATTACACATACATTTGTTTCAAGAACTAACAGCAGAAGTGAAATATTTGAAAATGGTTGACTTTATTCATGTGTTGGATTATTCAGAAAAAAAATAATAAAAAGCCAACAAGGACTCTATGGTACAAAAACCCTCTAAACCAAAGTGAAGTAAATTACAGTGAGTCTATGTCCTTTGAGAGCTAAATGCTTTTTGATATTTTCTATAAGCAGGATAAATGCAAGCAAATGTAGCAAAACATTTTGATGTTAGTGTCTCTCATCCCATGTTATTTCATGAAAAAAACTGAGGTATTGTTTTGGTTTATTCAGTACATTTAAACTGCACATTTTGGTATTTATGGCACAAAGTCAAGTTTCAATACTTTTATCCTTTTTAAACGATACGCCTTTGTCTAACAGAAGTTTCTCAATACTCAACATGTATCAGATCAACTGGAAAATAGTTTTAATTTTATTTTCACTACTAAGTTACTGGACAATTATTTCACAATCAAGTGTTTCTTTCAATTGAAACATGGGAGCCAAATGGGTATTCAAAGCTTTTTCTTTCAATTCCTTTTCCCCATCAACCTGATAACAAGATGAATTAAATTAAGTGTCTCTGCACTAGGAAGACTCTGTACACAAGAATCCACATTCTTCTTGTGTTTCAAATCTATTTTTATTGCCTCCACAGCCCCCGTACCAGAACTGACCACACATTTTCTGCTCTTTGTTGTAGTACCACTTCAGAACGTAATTCTGACATTCTCCACTATCTGGAACAAGGTCACAGGCATCTGGAAAAGGCAAATAAGAGAGATTTAATGAAAGAAAGACTCACCCTTCTCAGCATTGTAATTTCAAGGAAAAATAATGTTCAGTGCAAACTGGCAGATGGAAGAGGTAGCCAGCATTCAAGGTCTTACAAAGATTAACTAAGCATTCATCCACAAACCCACAGTGCTGTTATGGCCTGAAGCCCCTTTTCGATTGACTGATTTTATAGAACGATTTGGCTTGGAAAGGACCTAAAAGACCATCTGGTTCCAACCCCCCTGCCATGGCCTTGAACACTTCCAGGGATGGGGCATCCACAGCTTCTCTGGGCAACCTGTGCCAGTACCTCACCACCCTCTCTGGGAAGAACTTCTTCCTGATATCCAATCTAACCCTCCCCGCTTTCAATTTAAACCCATTCCCCCTTGTCCTGTCACTACAGGCCCTTGTAAAAAGCCCCCCCCAGCTTCCTTGTAGCCCCTTCAGGTACTGGAAGGTGCTATAAGGTCTCCCCGGAGCCTTCTCTTCTCCAGGTTGAACAAGCCCAACTCTCTCAGCCTTTAACCATAGGACAGGTGTTCCAGCAATTACCTGTGGTAATTGTAGTCCACCATGAGGACTAGGCCTTCAGAGCATGAGGCTGCTCCTATCTCTCTATAGATACTTACCTTTCTATGTATGTATAGATATTTATCTGTTTCTATATATTTATCCAGAAAGAATATCTGAAACAACTAGATTTTCAGTGGCAGAAATAGATGGTATGCTAAAAGATCTTTAGACTTCTAACAGACCTTTCACTAAAATTACTGTCAAACAATTCTACCTTGTCTAGAGGGACTAGGTAAACAAAGCTTTTCAGAATGTCCCTCTTCTTTATTCCAACTTGTTATACTGGTATCCATCAGTAAAATTTCATAAATGAACATACATAGATGGTTAAAATATCCATGATAGTATCTTAGCCAAATTGCAGAGTACTACAGATTTAAATTGCATGCATTAGCCCAAACGTAGGTGAGAGTAGCACACTTTGTAGCAATCTGGTATTCATTAAGTACAGATCTAATCAGCTTTCACCAGTATAAATTCAGAGTTACTCAAATGAAGCCAGAAGAGCAGCTCTAGACTTTGGTATCTGTATGACACTGAAGAGGAAGCACTGAAAATAAAGCAAAAATACTGATAAAACTATCCAGCCTTAAGATTTAAAATTACATAACCTTTTCATCCTAATCAGCTGAGAAACGAGAATCTCAAGTAACAGATCAGTACAAAGTACCTCTCTCCAAAGGAAAGTTCTGGAACTGTGCTATATCTTTTTAGAAGTATAACTGTTGAGTAACTGGCAGTTAGGCAACAGGACCAAATCCATCTGTGATGAGCAAGTCTGTCATGCACTGTGGATGTGTGGCATTCCGAGAGGTACATTAACTCATTAAAGATCCAATATTAAAACTGCTCTGCAAAAGCATTGGTCCTCTCTCATCAAGGATGGGGCTATCAGACATTCCCAGTTTCATTTTTGAGTGGGGAGGGATGAAATACACAAGGATGGCTGCTGTAGCAACAAGCTACCACACCCAAAGCTATGCAGATATCACTGCATTGTTTTCCACAGAAATTGTCTCCTATTGCAGTCTAAACAATAAAAAGACTCAGTAGTGTTAAAGAATGTTGGTGACAGAAATTCCCACTATCAGCTTCCCACAGCTATTGTATCAAATGGAAAATCTGCCAAGAAAAATGCATAATTAGCAAGCGAAGTAAAAACATGAATAATATAGATTTTAATAGGATCCCTCAGCAGATCCTGTTCTTCCCACAGGAACAGACTGTAGTGGAGACATATTTTATTCCACCATGCTGAGCTAAATTAGCAGCAGGAGTAACTCAGTAATTACAGTGCAACTTAGGGATTTAAAATGATCAGCTGTTTTAGTAAAAGGGGTTAGAACTTTAGGTTATATTATTACAAAAAGTTACAAATCAAAGCTAAAGCCATAATGACACCTGCAGTTCAGCCTTTAATTACACACTCTTATTGTATAGATTTGGACTGCATACAAACATATGGTTGTAAAACACTTTGGAAAATGTAATTAATGGAAGTACTTCATACTGCGTAAATATTCAACTGAGACCTTCACAATTTAGAGTATTTTTACTGAATTAGAAAATTCTTTCATGTTGTAAAAATCATACCATAATGACTATAGACAACTCTGCTTTCTACTGTTGCCTCATTCTCCTCCTGAGCTTCTCCATATTCTTGTTGCTTTTCTCCTTTAGTATCTTCCTCTCTGAAATACTGCTTCTCCTCATAATCGTATCTCATTTCCAGCATTGTGTATACAGGTTCTGTGGTGGTCTCTCCAATATTCTCCAGGACTCTACTTTCAGTTCTTTCTATATCTTCTAAAACATGTCCATAACCAGTTTCATTGGCTGCAGTAAAAGGCATCCTTCCGGAGCGGGAGTGGGGGAGAAGGGAAAAAAAAAAAAAAAAAAAGGTATTTAAGCATCAGTATGTCCTTGAAAAATGCATCTGGTTCATTCCTTCTGAATAGCATGAAGAAAAATTTTTATCCTGATCCTGTTTCTGCTAAAGCTATTTTGAATGTAACAACTAATCCAAAGGGAGAAATCTTATGTTCAGAGAAACACATCCGAAAACTTTCATAGGCAATTCCAAACCTTTCAGTCATAGACACTTGCTGTTGTGTGTCTCCCCGATCTAACTTTTCACACTCTTCTTGAAGTTCAGGTGAAGGGTAACTGTTTATTTCTTCTGTGGGGAAAGCACAGACATCACAGGTGAGTTTTAAAGTCCTCCAAACCCCAGTATTTTTTATAAAAAGCACTACATGACTTTTTTTTTTTGTTGTTGTGGACTGGAGTTTGCATCTGTCAGTAAGTAACACACCACATCTAGAGCAACTGGCACTATGTCCAGGAAAAGGAAAATTGTGTTAGAGTTCAGATAGATGAGAATGACTCCTGAACCAGCCTTTTATATTTTCATCCTGCTCTGTTATACACTATTTATCTTCGGATGGCAACTTTGACATCTTTAAGTACATGTTTCTGATGAGGATTTTAAATCAGTGACAATTTCCTTCTCGACATTCTCATTTGTTTTTCAAAGCACATAAGACCTGCTAATCTACATGAGCGTGTCTTGAAAAGTAGAGTTCTTTCTCTGCCCTACAGAGGAGGAGTAACTGCAGTAAAGAGAGGTTAATGCCACATCTGCTAAATCTTTAAACCTGTATCTGCCCCAAAGCCTAAAAAGGCATAAACAGCTCGGTAAATCTGAACGTGCCAATGGTCAGAGGAGAAATGTAGGGCTAAATCAGGAATATGACTATGTTCTCTTAGCTGAAGAATGGTATTTAGTGAAAGTGGAGTCAATAAAACCACACATTAAATACAAATTTAGGGGAAAAAACCTACTTAAGACTTCGACCTCAGGCACCATTAGAATATAATGCTGTTGTGTCATTACCAGCATTTCTGTTAGTGTCCAGCATCTTCTGCCAACTAAAGATGAAACACTAGCTAGCTAAATTATGACTAGAAACTGAATAATAATTCATACACACTGACTACATTTTTTCTTTCTCTTTCTTTCCATAACTTAAGCAAAAACCACTGCACGCTACTTACGCTGTAGAAGATTTAGAAATGCCCGGCTAAACCTCTGGGCATACACCATCTCCGACGCAGAAACCCTGCCCAGTGTCAGTAAGTGCTGGTCTGTGGGGGAGCTCGACAGCTCCATCAGCTGATTGTCACTCACATCATTGCCAAGCGCAAGAGTGAACAAGGTGAATCCTTGGCACTTGGCTCCAAGTGAAATCTCTCTCAGCTTCTCTCTGTCCCACGTACTTGTTTTGCTTCCAACTACTGTAAATATGACCCTGTGTTTTCTTTGTCTGGGGGCTTTAAAGAATACATTTTCAACCGTCCACTGTAGGGCAGAAGCGATGGCTGATGGCCCTTCCAGTTGGTGGACAGACTCTTGGATATGCTTCTTCATCAGATCTTTATTGCTGTATGTGACTAGATCAAACTCCAAGGCCACAGGGGTCTGGTTTCTGTCAGGCAGGAAGCCTCTGGGAGCCTGCTGCACCAGTGCCACCCTGATGCCTCCATACGATTCGTTTGGCAATGAGGAAACAACAAACTGATCTAGCATGTTGCTCACAAAATCTTTGGCTCTCTGAAACTCTTCACCGCTGATGCTGCGGGAGCTGTCCATGATGTAAGTGATATCCATGTCCATCAGAACAGGGGGAGAAAAGGGCACTTCGCAGTTGGCACTTGGTTTGCATTTATCTAGAGAGAAAGATCAAGTAGGCAGCTATTTAGTAATACAACAAAAGCAAAAGTTTAGGGGCAGGGGGAAATCACACAGTCCTGTTCATCTATTTTATTTTTCTTACATTTTCATTAAAAAAAAAAAAAATTGGGCAACTTGAAATCTTGTCATTCTAGTAAGGAACAACAGATGAGGGTATGATATCATGGAAAATTATTCAGGCATGATGGCAAAAAGTGTTCATAAAGTAAAACTTATGAGTTTCCTTGAGAAATTGTCTTCTGTCAAAAACTAAATATTGTAAAGGACACTGGAACAAACTGTTTTTCATCTCAGTCTACTGTTCAGCATTCTGAAATATCATTTAGTAGCTTCTCCTCCCTCACAATGTAGAATTTACAGTAAATGAGCCTGGTTTCCCAGAATCATAATGCTATTGTAAATGCATTTCCATTAAAACAGAAAATACCAAACAATAATGCATTTCACATGGCTGAGACAGCAACTAATTAAACAGCTTTTGTGGTTTTGATATTCTTACCATTCAGTGGAGGGGAAATTCAAATTGAAAATTCTCAACAGAGGTAATCTATAATCAAGGAATGATCTGGCATGGAGGGCAAGAAGGCCCAGTTGCAGAAGGAGTTAAACTGGCTGGAAGCAGAAATGCCAGAGAGAGAACTACTCCCTGTAAGGGAGTGAAGTTTCCCTTCCTGATGATAAGAAACAGCCAAGGCATTGTCTTGTAGCCATCCTGGGATTTGAGCAATCAGGGGCCACCTTCGGGCAGCAGAGCTGGGCCAAGGCACCCCATGCAACCACGCACGGGATTGGTGTTGGTGCAAAAGTACATAAGGAAGTAGCTCTTAACACATCTTTGCAGATTCCTTGTAAAACCACTTATGGCAGTAGGACTCTGCCCAGTGCATTGTTCCTTACATTATTTTTTTAATATTTAAGCACAAATGTGTTTAACGGGTACCCAAAAAATTCCCCAACACCACACTGCAAACTAAAATCAATAGGATTTGTTTTTGAAAGGGTAAAACGACCAATACAACAGCTGGAATTTGTAAAATGCCTTACCAAAGCAAAGTGTACAATATGTGACATTCTCCAAACTTTCATCCTGTTGTCTTTCCCATACAAATAATTGAAAGCTTCTAGTATCATCAATCTGTGTTTTAAAGCAGACACAAAAGCACCATTAAAAGATATACGTGAAATACAGGTGCTTTCTCTTTGTGCTGAATACTCAATGTCATTGCTATTTCTCTGTTAAAACTGATACTAAACCTAGCTTGGCGGTTTCACTGCTGTTTTGATATTGAACGGGAACACGCAAGACTTCTTCAGTTGCCATTCTGGAGCGTTTTAATTGCCCTGGACCATTACAAGGAAACGGCTTTGTGTCTAAAGGTTTAACTCCATGCTGTGCCATACAGAGATTGCCAGGTTAGTGTAGCCGCTAATGACAATTAATTGGTGTTAGCATAGCTTATTAGCTAAGAGTATTGCAGTAAGACAGTCATGGTAGATTATTCAAAGCTAGCTTGGATATTTCTGCATGGTGTTGAACTTTGGTCCTCTGTTCACATTCATTTTATATGTCATCCTGCTCTTCCTGGGTCCCAGATTAGGTAGGGACTCAACATTTATTCTCTGTTTGTATGCATGTGGCTACCCAGGTCTTGACTGGGGTGACTGTGTGCTACTATAACACAAATGAGGGGGAAAAATGAGTCACTGTGGGATGGCAATTGAATGCAAATAAAAGAAAATCCTCATGATTTAAATTAATATATCAAGTGCTTTTCTATAAAGGTCAATATTCTCCCTTTGACAATGCAGAGCACTATGTTCTGGCCTGAAAAATACTTTCTTTTTAAAAAATGGGGAGACAAACTTATAGGCATGAATGGAAATCTCAGCACAGGTAAAAAATACTAAGCCTTTTAATTTTTTTTTTCTCCCCCCTCCCCGCCCCAGCGAAGGGCTATCACTTTTTTCTTTTCTTAGTAGGGTGCTACAGAGAAAGGGCAGGATATCCTATCTCAGCTCTTTCTGGGACAAAGAGAAATCCTCCACAGTGAAGATGTTTTCTTGGCAGAGAAAATTCTAGCATTTGAACAACCTACGGGTTGCCTGTGATCAGCTGAAGAAAGACAATCTTCTCCCGTAGACGATCTGACAACAGAAATGCTTCAGGAATCCTGAAGAAGTTTCAATAACATCCTATAATTTCACTGTCCACCAACCTTATCCAAACATGATTCAAGGAAAAAAACATTTACTTGTGGGCTAAGGTAAAGAAAAATGGTTGTAAAATATCATAATATTGCAGGAAATTAAACATGGATAAGCTAAAATGGTGAGGAAAGAAATAATGACTTCTTTGCATTAAACTTCTTTTTGTGTGTTACACATGCACAACACAAAACAATTAACTTCTGATTAATCTGTGAAGAATGTTATAAACAGGCCTCTTCAAAAGAATTACAATTCACAATGACTGTTTAAGTGATCCTGAAACTGAGGCTCCTAAAGCCAACTAGCTGAAGGCAGTATCTGTGGCTACAGGCTGGTGGGATCATGACAATTAAACCACCTCTCAACTGCAAGGGCAGAAGCCCACCTGAAAGAAAAAGGGAGGTTGTATTTTCTTTGGGGGGTGGGGGTGGTGGTAATGGTTGCTATTCCATCGCTGTAACCAGAAAGGAGAACTGGGCAGTGAATTTTTTTGTCTTTCCTCCCACACTAGGCAGAGTGTTTAAAACTTTTCTACTCTGAAAACTCATTTAGGGAAAATTGGCACCTTTGTAAATACCAGATGTTGTCATATGTATATGGATTTGTAATCTGCTTGTAATAAGTAAACAAAATACTGATGCTTGCTCCTGTTTATCCTGTGGAGAAAGTCAGAGAATAAACTATGAGCTTCCTTCTCATATGCCAGCAGAATTTTTTCATTCTGCTAAATTAACATTCAGCCAGACAAATATGTGAATTGACCAAGAGATATGAGGCTGCATGAGAAGAAATGTAATACAAATATTAAAGGGCTAATTTAGATGCTACTAGAGCAGAAATTAGACTCTAAGTTTGGCACTTTCTGACATATGTAAGTAAACAATTTCCTTTTATAAAGATAATCCTGAAGAAAGAACAGCTGGAAGGAAATTTATTTCAAAAAAGTTAAAACTGAGGATGGATGATACAAAAATAAATAGAAAAGAGAGAACATGGAAGCCCTATTATGAAACTTTAAAGAAACTTCAAATTGTTTTCCTTTGTTATAAGCAAAATGGATTGCTTATTTTTGTTTACTATCTTTTCATATTAAGTCATATTTTAAACCAAAAGTTGCTAATTTTCTCCTGTACTAATGGCAATACAGCTATCAAAAGGGGCTCTGCTTAATTTCTTTTGAAAAAAACCCAACTGATGTTCTTGAAGTCTTCTACTACTACTTTTTTTAGAAACTAGGGCCACAGTTTCTCAATTAAATGGTTAGTACCTGTCACAACTTCAGATGAGAAATGGCATAAGGTACTCAAGTGAAATTAACACAATGTTATTGAAATTCTGTGATTTGGCTGAAAAGGACAAGTCATAAATAATTAATGTGCAGAAAGAGGTGAGATGGTGATCATTATGGTCAAATGCATCAGTGTTTCTTTATTAAAATAATAACCTATACTAGCAGATGCTAAGCAGATGGATGACTGACTCAATTTTCTACAGTCTGTCTACTTACGGAGAAGGCACGTCTGACATTTGGCACTTCACTGAAGGCGATAACCACTGGAGTGATATCCAAGGCACTCAACTCAAGTACAGCTGTGCTGATGGCAACATCATTCTGTGATGGGCCGTTGGCAAAAAACAGGGCAACTTTTCTTGTGAGGATGCCCTGACGAACACGCTTGAAGACGTTTCTTGCAACAAATCTCATGGCGGCCCCAATATTACGTCTTCCAGTGGATCTCTCTAGTGGTATTCTCTGGACTGCTTGTAGCAGGAGGTTGCTCTTTTGGAATTCTGAGAATCGGATGAGATAGCGCGTATTGGTATTGAAGGAAACAACGGAGACGCGGGCGCCAGTTGGGCAATTGCTTTCACTGATCTTAATGGTCTTCAGCAAAAAGGTAACAATGTTCCTCATTCTTTCGAATGCGGCTGGTGTCACATCGTCAGACATGTCAAAGGCAAACACCAGTTCAGTTGGATAAACTGGGCATGTGTCTGTATATTGAAATAAAAAAAGCTGTGTGAGAACCTCTCCGCAACTCAAGCACTGTTAGTTTTTCCTTCAAGTCTATAAGACAATGGACATGCAGAGGCCAGATGGGCTTACCTGATGAGCAAGCTGGAATGAAGAGGTGGAGAGCAAATAAATTATTTTGGACTCACATTCATTAAAATAGCGACATATTCACTTGCTTTCACTAAAAAGCCTGATACAGCTCAGACAACTGACAGAATCTGTCAGTGAGAGGCAACACTCCTCTTCCACAATAAAATATTCAAAATAGTGCAGTTTTACTGGATGGGAAGTAAAGAAATTGTGCTGGGTTCTGAGGAGCATATAAGTCAGAGAGAATGACTCTGGAGGACAGGTGATATACAAATATTGTCTTCTCTCAGAGAATTTCCCCAAGGGGATTGGCACAATGCCAAAGAATTAATTTAATCTTAAATGAGGACAAGAGACATTTGTTACAGTTTTTGAAATTAAAAGGTAGGACAAGTGAGCAAAAATTGTAAGCCTCTTTCATAGACCTGCTGAAAACCCCTCACAGTTAACAATACCAGTCACCATCAAACTGAACCCAAATACAAACTACCAGACTGCAGGGTGTCCAACGGAGGCTATTCCATTTAAGAAGAGTGACTAGGTGGAATCAGGGATAAAAGAAGATGCTCCCTACTTACGGCAGCTTTTTCGTGTAAAATTCACAAGTTCACAAGCCTGCAGGAGCAAAACAAAAAGGTAATTAATGGCAAATCCCAGACCATTCCAGACTGGGAATCTTGCTATTGGTTTGAGCTGAAGGTCATATTTCAGCTCTTGAACTAGATCCTACGACAGTAAATCCAGAATCACACATTCCAATTCCTTTCTATTTCAAATAGTACCGGGGCTCTGCCCTTGCTGCAGAAACTAAGGGTTTTCTTTAGACATGCTCTCCTGGCATTAATTGGGTTTTGGAGTATTGAACAACCATTTATGCATTTTCTATTTTGTGTAATAATCTGATCTAAAAGATCACCAGGCAATGGCACTTCATAGGAGAATGGGCATTTCAGTAGTGACTGACATAGGAAGAGAGAGGTCCACAAAGGAGAGGACCCCCTTTGGACACAGACACACTTGCAGTAGTAGTGTCTGCAGGGAGTTGTCCACGCAAGGGTTACATGTAGCCTTTACTCTAAAGTGTTCATTTTACATGGGATTAGTATTCTGAAGAAATCCTGCCCTGCTATTCCCAGTGAAAACAGCTATTGCTGAGGAAATGTCTTCCTTTACAAGAGGGCGAGAAATAACCCTAAACCTGAGCTGGTGTGTAAACTGATGTGAATGAAGAAACAGATAAAGGAATACTAATGATCCAACAGTTTGTAAAAGTTTGGGCATGGAGTTAATCCATATGCATAACCATCCCTCAATCCTTGATTATTTGCAAAACAGAGGCACCCACTGCATACTGACAAGTATTTGAAAAGGATATGGTTTTCTAAGAGCTAATTGTGTTCATTGCAGTCAGTGCTTATAAATGGAAGAATACAAAAAACTGTTAGTTCCGTGCAGTGTGCAGTTAGCTGTAAGGTAATTACCTACCTCCATTAAAATGGTGCCCATTGGTCCCTTGGCACCCTGAAACAAATTAAACACAGGTCCAGAAAATCAGACCCTGATGACATATTTACATCTATGATTCTGTGGCCCAAAGAGAATGCAGGCATACAGTGTTCCCCTGATAGCCATTTGTGAATCTGAAATATGAGGAGACATCAGTTCCCAACAGAGTTGCAGATAACTTCTCAGTTCATTTTCCTTTCTGGTTTTATAAATGTTCAGTTCTTGTTGCTCTTGAGGCCCAGTATAATTTAGAATTGGATTTCCTTTCTCATCAGCAATTTCTGTGCTGTGGTTCGGTTAACTGCACCTTACATCTTTTTCAGCCTCTGATGTGTGATAAGCTTACCCCCTCCTCTTGCAGGGTACAATCCCCACGCATCACGACTGCTCAACCAGTCCAGCTAGTTTTGGCTACTCTGCAGCCTTCTTGGTAGCTCTGGGCAAATGCCAGGATTCCAAGTATCTTTTTTCAAAATAAAAGTATTGTTTAATCTTCATAAAAGGAATAAAATACAGGGGGAATCTTTTTTCAAGGCATCTTGAAAGTTTTCCTGTGTGCGATTCAGACTACTGAAAATTTTCACTTACCCGCAGGGGGCTGCAGTGAGATACACGAAAAGAGTTGGAACTCCACATCCCACAACCTTTACCTTAGTCTCTTTCTACTATAACATTACAGTAAGTCATATACTTTCCTATGTCCCCCAAATTACAACCCCATCTCCATTTGTTGCTTCCCTTTCCAATTAACCTTTCATTCCCCATCTACTACCTGAGCTACCTTCCTCAACTCTGCTGCCTTGCTGCTAGCACTGCTACTACAATAATCCCAACAAGCCCATACGTCCCAAGCTCCACTCTCACTTCTACACCTGAAGAGGAGATCTTGAGCTTGAAAACTCTCTGAAGGCTTCTCAGACCATGGATTGGCAAGGTCAACAGCCATGTGGCTCACCAGCACACAAGGTTGGCCTGTCTTTAACGTTGTGTGAGCAGTCAAGCAGCAGGGAGGGCAGTGCATTCCAGCTGGCACTCTCAACCATCCTTGAGCCCAGCATCATAAGAGAAAGTGGGCCAGGTACATTCATTGGCCAGCACAGGGTAATAGTAATAAGAAAAATATTTTCTAAGTTGCATGTATCCCATGGGCCATGTTGTACAGGTAAAGATACTGTTAGCAATAATGTTCTGCATTTAAACTAAAAGACTAATCTTAAGAAAGTTTAACAAGAACATAATTAACAGTAGGGATTGTTTCTGGTCACCATAGAGTTGATTTGTAGCACTGCTGCAAGATGAAGACAGACACATACAGGGGGTTTCCTAACTGCCTACAGTGTTAGTCCAAAATCCTACTGAAATCCAGGATCCTCTCCCCGGCTTAGGTAGAGTATAAAGCTTTGTTGTATTAAATCCAGATCACAAACACTGGAAAAGTACATCAAGACATCTACCTGTATATAAGGATTAACAGGTTACAACCGGTTTAAGCTTTAACTAAGTGCCTGTATTTGCCAGTCTTAAACAGCTTTTCTTTTTAAATGAAAAAATACATTGGCTTTCAGCAGAACAATCCAGTTCTACATTTTAGCACTCTCCTCTTTTTTAATTGGATATCTATTCAGCGTAAAGACAATACCAGATATTGTGGAAGAAATTCTGCCCTGCATTGTACCACTGCAGTTCCATTTCCAACAGCAGGTGCTCTTGTGCATACATACTCACAGGCAAGACGTAATTCTAGACAACTGCCTGGCTGATTAAGCATAGTTTACCGGAAGAAACATTAGGAAATATTCCATTAATTTAACAGCAAGTTTAAGAGCAATCTAAGGTGATTTTTTAAAATAAAAATATATTACCATAGGTCCTGATGGCCCTTGTTCCCCTGGATCTCCCAGGGAACCTGGTGTGCCAGCATTACCCTAAAACCAGAAATACAAGTTTTATTCTTTACAATTGCACACACAGGCGCAGAATTGCAGCAGAGAAAAACCTCTGTAACTGTATCATGAGTTGGAGCCTGCATTTACATAAAGATAGAATACTACCCCTAAAAATTATTAGCAATTAATATCTCTAAAGACTTAGACCTGCATTCTCTCAAGACCTCTTCCCCAGGATATGGCAATAGGATAAGAGTGTGGGAACAATTTCACAAACTTCTGGTGACAAAACACTTAAGTAAAGCCATTATAGAACTCTTCACAGATTTATCATTCTTACTCTTCTGCCCCTAACTCCTTTGGGTCCTTCAGCTCCTGGAATTCCAGGGTCTCCATCTTCTCCCTGAAATTTAATGAAATCCACAAGGAATCCATTTGGAATCCTAGGAATCCATTAGGAAAGGAGAAGACAGATAGAAAGACAGATAACCACTTCCAAACAAGAATAATGTAAAACAAGAAATAAAGAAAGCGATCATGCCCATTTAATTATACCTCTGGACCAGGATATCCTATGAATCCAGATTCTCCCTACCAAAAGAAAGGAGAAAGACTTCATAAGAATCCAGAACTTTGTGATGTGCTTATTGTTAAATGTCTTTAAACCAAATCCAATTTCAAATTATTCTTAGCATTCCACCCCATTCAAGTTAACAGTGGCTACTACTCTGGTCTCAAACGACACCATTTTAGGTTAACACTTTGTTCATCTAAAGGAAGAGCATCTAAAAGATTTCCAACAGTTTCTGAATTTTCAAGAGTATTCCATTTCTCAAGTAAGTGTTTTACCAAAATCTATTTAAGCTTCCTAGTAACATACATTGAAATTCATGTTTGGCGATCATAAATAAAGTGTAACACTCAGAACTGCGTGTTTGAAGGCAGTTTCAAAATGTTGTACCCTCCATACTAAACAGTGAAACAATAGCATTTTGTTGGCATATTAGAACTCACCTCATTAATTGTTTTCAATTACTTCAGTTTTCCGTGTGTTTTTTACTTATAATATGAAAAATATGAGAACCCTCACAAGAACCATCAGGAATGAAGTGTATCTTTCCTAGACATTAGAGCAACTCTCAGAATTCACACTACTTACATATGTCCTTGTTTTAAGAGTTCTTGCCCATGAAAGTGGAGGTGCTTGTCAAACATCATACGATTTGTCCTACAATTTCTAGAAAATTACATGCACGCAGGCCCCAGATTACACCTATGAGAGGGTAATGTGACTGTGAACCTGTATAATTAATAGCAACCTTAAATAAAACATATACTAAAGGCTGTTCTCCTACACTAAAGGCTGTTCTCTTAGATATCAAGGGAAACTAACTTCTTCGGGATCAGTATTCTGGGGTGAATTGATTTTTCATTTGTTTTTATTAATTGCTTTAATTCAGGCCCTGCCAAACCTTGGGCAGACACATCAGTGTGTAAGAAGGGCTTTTAAGTCGACCCGTTAAAACAATGGATAATGACAAGAAGATTTAGGAGAAACCCTTTTCCCCCCTCATTTCTTGTAACAAGGATGTTCCCTGAAATGAACAAGTGGGAGATTCCAAGACATTGAAAGAACTAGTCTTGCACATGGCATGTGTAACTTGTGAAACTGTCCCATCAAATGAGATTGTTGGGCTAAGAAGGTAAGAAAAGAAATGGGAGAGTAAGAAGCATCAGGAGTCATTTTAATAAAAGGCAGTTTCAGAAAAAGGAGCTTATCAGTTGGGTGAGGCTCCTGGGAAGCCTTTCATATCTTTTCTGCAGCTTCTGCAGCACCCCGCTTGTCCCACAGAAAGAGAAAGTTAAACAGATGGGCCTCCTGTGAGATCACTGGGTCACTGCTGTTTCACAAACAACAGGAAAGGACAAGTATTGTGACACTGCACAAACTCTGCAGTGCAGCTGTTCCAGCATCCTGACAATTTTGCTCACAGACTGACACACTGGTGCCACGATTTTAACCACACTGTTTCTGTGTACTTTTTATTTTAGCTGGATTCTTGTACTTTTTTAGAGAAGTAGGAATTTCACTGCTCTTTTTTTCAGGGCTGTGAAGAGAACGATAAGAATCTCTAAATAGCAATCCAGAGGTTAATCTTCAAATCTTATTGACCATAGGAGCACAAGAAAGAATATTTCATATTAGAAGAGTGAGAGTGTCACCCTCACCTTGGTAGTCAAGGAATCCCTCCTCTTGAAGAAGAAAAGTTAAAAGAGTCCAAGGTGGCTGACCCACCAATACCTGCCAACAGGAGTGGCTAGTCAAGCAGGCTGAAGTGGAGAGAAGGCACTCTGCACTCCAAAAAGTACAATCCTCCATATCCATATACACACATATAGTGGTTCTCCAAAGAATATCCTACTGCAGAATTTCTCAGAAGGATGGTTGTGGGGACGCTGAGCCTCTTACAGAACCTCAGAAGCATACTGTGACCATGTCTTCCATTTCTTTTGAATCAAATATGGATGGTCATGTTTGATTTGACACTGCAGAATGGCAACTGTGAGACATCCTGACTCTAAGCACTCACCTTTGCTCCTTTGCTTCCTTCAGGACCATAGGCATCTCTGCCATCCATGCCCTGCATAGGTTGAATATATCATGAGTTAGCTTTTAATAGCAGATTAGATTCACATCCAATTCTATTTTGGAATAAAGACTTCCCATTACAATGAGGTGTTCAGGTTGTTAAGACTGAGAAAGCAGGGCAAGATATCACAACACAGTCTAAAAAAAGTAGGAAATGGTGGCAAAGTCTGTAGAGAGAAAACAAGGATTAAAGCCACAGTTCCTCTTCACTGTGTGCCCTCCAGCATATCCTCTCTCTCCTACAGAACCTGAGGGGAAAGATATTCTCTCTATCCCACAAGGAATCTGATATCCATAAGGAAACTGAGAATGAAATGTGAAATGATTTTAAAAGTATCAAACAGAGAAAATAGAATGAACTGTACTGATTCAGATGGATGGGTAATAAACTACAGGGGCCCTGAATTAGGGCAAAAAGACTCACAGGCATGCCTCTCTGTCCAGCTGGTCCCACTGGGCCCTTCTCTCCGGGGTCACCAGGTTCACCCTGTTATAATCAAACCATAAAAGGCATTAGTTTGGTTAATTCTGAACAATTCTTCTTTCTGAAATGTAAACTTGTCTGCTAGACTGGAATGCGTGTACACATTTTAGAGATTACTTGATGCCAGTCGAAAGCATTCCATTACAGACCATGTTTCATGGAAGGTTCCTTGGGTTGGGGAACTAGAAGGTACTTGGCATATCAGAATATGCTGAGCATTCATGCAGCTAAACTCCAAAAACCTTCATTCAATACAACTCCCATCGTTATACGGAATTACCAGTTAAAAGAGTGTTTTGTAGAATAAAGTTCTATTAATGTTAGCAGGACATCCTGGAATTCTACCAGCCTGAAGCATCTGTTAATAAGCAGACAATATTTCTCAGGCAGGCCATCTGCACTGTGCTTAGTCCTCCTGCGAGTTTTCTTCTCTTCAGTTCCCTTTTTGGTTTTCAATTTCTTAAGGAGCTTTCTTCTAACAAGAACCCCAAAATTAAGCAGCACAAAACAGACTGAGAAAATGGAATATACAATGTTTTAAATCCATATGTTTCTTCCCAATTTTTGTCACTGTTCTATCCAGTAGTTTCACCCAGTATTTTCACCTAGTGACTCTTCTCATAGTAGCATTTCGACATCAGGTCATTATCAGTGACCCGATACCTCTCTGTCACTGAATGTTATAATAGATTCCACATAATAACCCTTTAAAGAGGTGGAAAGGCTTAGCTAACTGGTATTATTTATGCCTTTTAGATCCCAAGAAGTGAGAAAATCTAAAATGAGTTCGTTTTATTTGATAAACTAAGTCTCCCACATCAATGCACAATAATGAAAGTAAGGGATAACATTTAATATAAGTGAACCATAATGTGGACCACCTATAAGACTTTAACTTCATGTTGATTCAGTTCTTCAACACATTCATTCCTGTATAATAGACACTATAACAGTCAAGGTTCCTTAAACTGGTTAGGAATCTTTAAGAAACAAAGGATAAAATAAGCAGCTATGCTTCACTGAACGAGGAAGTTCAGATTGGACATTAGGAGAAGGTTCTTCACTGAGAGGGTTGTTGGTCACTGGAACATGCCCCACAGGGGAGTGGAGGTGGCACCAAGACTATCAGTTAACAGAGCTCTTAGTCATATGGTTTAGTTTTAGGCAGTCCTGTGAGAAGCAGGAAGGTGGACTGAATAATCCTTACGGGTGCCTTCCAACTTGAGATATTCTATGATTAACTGGTACATATTGTCAATGGATTGAACAGATACAGGAACCATAAAACAAGCTCAAAGGTCAGCACTGCCATATCTCTACTGCATTTTGTGAGAAGCCAGGCCCCACAGGGAACCATGACCACAACAGCAATTAGAACAGCAGACATGGCAACACTACTTCTTAATATAGCTCTGATAACCTGTAAGATTACCTTGAACACATCACTTGCCTTCCCACACAATCTAAAAATATCTATAAAGTTTAACATTCTTTACAAGTTCCACAGGAACAACACAAGTGCTACTTCATGCTTCTTCCTCCAGATTCTTGAACAAATGATGATGCAAATAGGTCCATTAAAAATCTTTACCTTTGCTCCCCTTGCACCTAACTTCCCAACAGAGCCAGGTGAACCTGGGGCCCCCAGACTAGCCTGTAATCAGAAATATCAGTTAAAAGGTGCACAATGAAGATTCAAGAGCTCACTGCATGGAAGAATTCATTGCCACTTGAAATTATTCTAGAATCAGGATAAAGATTAGTACATTAACAAGCTTTTGAGGACCACAGTGAGAGTTACTGGTCAAGCTACCATCCAGTTATTGCCTGTTTTCTGTAAAACAGCTTCAAAAATGTTATTAAGCATGACATGAATGTTAGCTTCTATCTACACAGATACCTAGCAAATATATGCATATGTGCACTACCAATATGAATATATATATACACAGACATACAATGTGTGTGTAAGCAGGAGCATCATTACATGGCTGAAGCAGATGCCCTAGTCTAACGGAGTAGGAGGTTCCAGTCCTGAGTTACAGTGGTGTAATTCCAAAGTAAGAACCCCCAAAATCAACGGCATCACCCAAATGAGAAGATCAGCAGGCAGTGATCAACAGTTACAGCTCCATCATACCCCAGCATTAAATCTCACAGGCCATGCTTTAATGAAACCACTGACCATTATCGAACCTTGCCCTCAACCACACCACTGTACGCATGTATTTATACATGCTGCAAGCCATGCTGCTAGTCCTGACACTATAGAACTGAGAGAGGAAGCTACAGCTAAGGCTTTTCATTGCAATCATGCAAAAGCTTGGTAACACTCAAGTTCGCTTCCTATTCACTCACCCCAATCATCTTCAAGGCTGTTATTTTATCATATGAGACTGCAAAATCAGTTTCCTTAAGTACTAGACTGAAAAATCCTCAGTTTCTTCTTCTATAATTTTTTTTCAAAACTCTTTATAATAACAACACTGAGAAGGATGCAGGAATACATCATTTAAAGCTAACCAGAGAGCCTGGCATGCCTTGTGGTCCTGGAGGTCCTCTGATCCCTTGTAGTCCTCTTGGGCCCTGATGTAAATAAGCCAACAAAACCAAAGTCAGTTCAATGTGGATAGTCTTTTAATGAAGAAAAGATCACTGCAATGACCAGAATCCAAGTGCCTGTTTCACAAGCCTTAATGCACAGGTGAAACTTCGGGTTGTTTGGCTGTAAGGATTCACCTGTGTGAAGCAGCTGAGATTTGCCACATTTAATTCCTCAGGGTTACAGAGAAGATTTTCCAGGGGAGAATCTTACTCATAATATTCATTAATTGAGGTAAACAAAGCATTCCAAAAGAAAAACACAAGATCAAGACTCACAACTCATCTCCATAGGTAACATAAAAACAGCTCAGAAGTTCTTTTAGCTACCTGTGGGCCTGGAAGACCGGAGTTTCCTGGGTAACCTGTTTCACCCAGATCTCCTTGCTCACCCTGCCAGAACAAAGATAACAAAAAAGCAACCAAATCAAACCAAACCAATTAACACCTGTCACCTGTACCTCAACAGATAATTTCATATCTGCACAGAGTATCAGTTCATAGAATGTTTTTCAATGCTTCCAAGCAGCTTCAAATTTCTGTTGAAGAAAACTCAGTTAAAAAGCAAAAGAGTTGAGTAGCTTTGTTGTTGTTGTTGTTTAGGGTGTGTGATGAATGTAAGAGCCGCAGCACAAGAGGTCAGTTCCGTCCGCTTTGCATTTTACACCACGGTCTCAGCAATATTTCTGTATTACCCTGGCCCTTGTCCACTGCAGAGACCATGAGAAGTCACAAAGCCAGGGCCACACGGGCAGATCCCCTCCACTCTTATCCATGGAGAACTATGATTTCACAATTCATGCTAGAATTAGATGTCTTTATACTCCCCATCTTTCACTCTGGCTACTCAGTGAGGCAAGTCAAATTTTGCTTGGTGGTGGAAAAAAATCCAAAACTTCCAGCTCCATCTACATAAAGTTGTCATTTAAGGATGAGTCAGTTCAACTGACATCCATAGGAAATATTTACTGTCTGCTGGACTCAGTAAAATGGTGATAATTAGCACCAGAATTTTCCAGGCCTTGCAGATCTCCTTTCACTGGAGAAATTGTAAATATTTCTCTGAAGATTCTCAGAAACAGATAGTTCTGGAAAGAATCCCCTGAGAAAAACTGCATTCAAGAGACTGTACTTCCATTCTCCACCATATGAATTTCATATGAATGAAATGAAAGATAATAGCAAAAAGACCCCAAAGCAAACAAACAAACAAAGCATTTGAGCAAGCTTATTTGTAGCCAGCGTAACAATACTGTAATGCAGGACATCAGTTTCTACACTGATAACAGGCTTGTAAAAAAAAAAAAAAAAAGATTTCCACAAAAATCACTTTGACTGCAGTGAAAATGGACACATTTCTTAGGCACACTACTAGAATCCAAAACCTATAGAAAGTTTCAGCTACTTAAACTAACTTTTAATCAAAGCCAGAAGTGTTTTTGTTTTCTTTTTTCTTTCCACCTTTTCCTTTTCCCTCTCTTTCATGCCTTCCTGTAGTTTATTCTTCTTTCCATCTTCACTGTTTTCGTTTCTATGACAAACACCTCTCTGAGGTCACACCACACCTTCTGTTCCTCCTGCCCACTGACCACTTCTGACTGTTAAGAATGGCCAGCTGAGCTGCTTTATTCTTTATAAATCATTTCAAGAAGTTAGCCTTCCTTTTATCACAAAAAGTCTGAATCTTCTCACTGCCTAGAATTTAACCTGCACTAATGCACTCTTGAATACAGCTGCTTTTAGATTTGCTTTGATAACTATTTTGTAATTTATACCCTGGGACAAACAGGCTTTCTTTTCCAAGAACATTACCTAAAAACCTTAATTTAAGAGAATGGCAGTGATGTCTTTACCAATTACATCTCAGGAAAGTTTCCTTCCATTGTGGCTCCATGGAGTACAGGGGTAGGAAAACCAGGACTATCAGCTGAACAATGACATGAGAGAATTTACCACCAGAGGATTTTTTTGGAATGTTCAGTCAGCATGCACTGGGGTTGACCTATTCCTTACATCTTATACAAGCATTCAAACAACACAATATTCTTTGATATGTGCTTGGGAAATTAAATTGTTTTCAAAATCTTGATTCTTTCATATGCTTTGAGCCAATTTGCAGAGCTGCAGTTAGCACTGTTATGTTTATGTTGTAGTAAAGTATCATTTGGAACTGGTCTTAACTTTTTCTCTGATGCATATGCGCATCATGCATACGTGTACATGCAGCAAAGGA